GAAGTATGTCTTCAAGTCTACAGGCAAAAATGTGCGTCCCTCTTTTTGCTCATAAACTGACTGCGGCTGTGGAATAGTTCTAGCGACGTTTTCATCACTACCTAAAGCCCCACGTTGCGAGAGCATTTCCAGTCGATGGTGTGTTATAATGCAGTTCTTCTTTACCCAACTATTTGTGTTGCTCCTCTCGTCATGACCAACGTGATCATCTCAGAGAGAAAGCAGTAGGGTGGTTGTTGCGTGCTGTACCATCATCAGCATTGTTGACGGCTACTCCCGCCTTGAGTTGTTACATTCAAAGTGTTTTTATGTTACTTCATACGCGAAGTTAACGATTTTCAGAGTTGGTTGGAAATGCTAACATGAAGCTTTAGTGTGATGATTTATTAGCTAGAGAATGATCTTTAGAAGAGGGTAGGTGGATAGTTCCGTTAGAGTACGGCAGTATGAAAATTGAATAGAAGTTGAAAATGGTTGGGTAACGAAGAACGCACCATTCATAACATATAAAAACATGCCAATCAAAAGTTCATCAAATAAAAATACATCCAACGAAAAGGTTTATGTACAAATTATTATTATTAAAGACGATCGAAAGTAATAAATGAAAGATGCAAATAAAAACGCATGGGTATTTCAATTATTTATCTTATTTATCTTATAAGTTTAAAACCAATTTTCCAATAGTCTATTCGTGGAAGGGTAAGTTGAAGGTAAGTACATGCATATCTTGCAAAACTTATCTTATTTGATGGACAATCACGTATAACTTACGAAAAGGGCATATTTTCTACAAAAAAATGATTATGATGAAAGTAAATTTGAAATATCTCAAAAACGGTTACATTTAGGAAGTTTATCGATATGAGTTTGAAATGATTTTTATAATCATATACTGACATCAAACAGAACATTTTGCCGTAAATAATGAAAGTTTTAAAAATGCCTTAAAAGTTACTCTTGGAAAAACTTTTTTATTAAAAGTTTGTCCATCCTGGAGTTGTTTTCAAAACTTCTGCTTTCTATTCAAGTTTTTATTAAAAAAAATATTAAAAAAAATCAAAAATACGTTTTGTTATTTGAATTTTGAGGTTTATGTTTTTTTTTTGTAAAAAAACGAAAAAAAAAACATTCCGTGTTTTTTATAAAGCCTTATTAGTTTCCTACAACTCCTTCTTAGTAAATTTTTTTCTACAACCAACTGTTTTCGAACTACATTTTTTTTTTAGTATGTGTGCAAAAACACATAGGCCCTTTTCAAAAATTACCCTTGAGTCAAAAGGGTCTCCTCTCCTGCGAAAAATACTTGGTCTATCATACTGAAAATATGTGCCAAGTATCATCCAGATCGAAGATAGTCAAGTTTGGTGACTGACCGATTTGGCGTGGAATTGGTCTATAGTAACTAACGAAATCTATGAGTAACTTACAAGCTGGGTGCAACATTCAGTTCTACCTGTAAGCCACGTAGACAAAGTTTTAAACATTGCAGATCCCTATACTAAAATTTTAAAGCGTTTCGTTTCAATACTCCTCCCATAGGGCCCTTTCCATGACAAGTTGCGAAAAAATTCCACACGGCAGCAATGCCAAAATCTTTTTGCATGTTTCATCAGTACCTACGAGTCCAAGCTGTAACTCATAGGTATATCACTCGTTCGTAGGCAATGACTTTTACATCAGCTCCAGTCCAATAGGCTTCGTGGTGTTAGTGACATTTGGAAATGTTTGGTGGTGTTTGTATTTATTCGCGATGTTCATCTATTTACCTGAAACAGCTGTTTGTAGTGACGTCATTGCTTACGAACGAGTGATATACTTATGAGTTACAGCTAAGACTCGTAGGTATATCACTCACTCGTAGGTACGATATAATGCTTCACATAAAACAAGAAATGTTATGAAAGAAATGATCAGTTAGAAAACAAAGTTTCCTACTAGAACAGTTGAATCGAAGAATATCTAAAAATGAAACGTAAATGTTCAATGTGTGGTGTTTGGATGTTGAGTTCATGTGCCAGAAAAATCACCAATAAATTGTACGATTATGCAGTGGAAAAAAAGATTAAAATAGATGAGAGTAGCTCCTTCATTTGTCAACGTTGCTACCACAAACTATATGAACCCAATGATGCCGTGACCGAAGAAGCCGTCGCAAGGACCATCCAGAATCGCTGCCTCAGGCACGTTCTTCTTTAAATTTCAATTCTTTTCTTCAAACGAATAACTTAAACTCTTCTTTTTTTGCAATCATTTTTCAGAGTCCATCGAAGCAACCAGTATCGATTGCCGTTGCGGGACCGTCCAGAATGGTTTGTTTTCCCTGCCAAGGTAAATAATAAAAAATAAAACATTTGTATGTATTTTTTTCTAATAATCAATCATTATTTATATTTATTTTCAGAGTCAGTGGAAACAACCAGTTCTGAATCGATCCTACAACGCACCTTTGTCGGACGAAAATGAATTCCTTATACAACTTAAGGATAAATATAAAGAAACAAGAGACAGCAATGAGCTATACAGGATTTTAACCACACTTCCCAAAAGTTGGTCTACATATAGAATTATGAAGGAGTTCAATGTTTCCCAACATATGGCCAACCAAGCAAAAGCACTGCAGCAAGAGAAAAGAATAATGTCGGTGCCTGTAAAGAGGTTAAGCAGAGCTTCATTAGGAGAACAAACAATAATGCTTGTTCGTGATTTTTACAATAGTGACGATATAAGTCGTGTTTGTCCGGGGAAAAGAGATTATATCTAAAACCGATGAAGGCGAAATCTACGTATGTACAAAGAAGATTAGTTTTGTGTAACTTGCAGGAGGCGTACTCCATCTTTAAAAATACATATCCTGATTTTAAAATAGGATTTTCTATGTTCGCCAGTAACCGTCCGAAACACTGCCTTTTGGCAGGGACAAGTGGTACGCATACCGTATGCGTTTGTATATATCATCAGAACGTTAAACTTATTTTTAAAACACTACAAAGCAGACAATGACTCCCAGATGGTGTTGATTCCTAACACGATTTGTTTACACAAATAATTTGTCAAAATCCAAGTGAACAATGCTGGCTGCAGTGTTGCGAAAATTGTTCAGGAACGCAAATTTTGGCCACAGAACTAATGACTATTCTTAGTAACGGACATGTTGAATCAATACAATTCAAACAATGGCGTAAAGTAGAGAGATGCATTATGGACTTAGTTGAAATGGGTACACAGGAATTTATTGATACTTCTTTAGAAAAATTATTTAATAGCCGCATAACTTTATAGCTGAACAACAGGCAAATTACTTGAAACACGTCAAGAGCAATTTGAAAGTTACAGAATGCATCATAATCTGTGATTTTTCGAAAAATTATTCTTTCGTTGTGCAGGATGCAGTTCAAGGCTTTCATTGGCCGAACGCCCAATGTACTATTCACCCTTGTGCTATTTATTTTAAAGACGAAGAATCCAACGATTTGAAATTTACTTGTTTTATTGCAATTGCTGATTTCACTAATCATGTCGTTTATTTCTTACGCATTGTCTAGCGTTCATAAAATGTAAATTGTCAGGTTTACAACAGATTTACTTTTTCTCAGATGGATCAGGAAGCCAATATAAAAATAAGATGACAACTTTTAATTTATGCAACATGCAAAAAGATTTTGGCATTGCTGCCGAGTGGAATTTTTTCGCAACTTGTCATGGAACGGGCCCTTGTGATGCTTTGGGAGGAGTATTGAAACGAAACGTTGCGAAAGCGAGTTTGCAAGGCCACCATATAACAACGACCGAAGAACTTTATTCATGGGCTATTTCTAAGCCATAACAGAGTTATGGATTAAGGTCACTAGGCCTAATGCTATCTGACTGAATGGGTCATAAGACAAACTTGTAAAGATTGAGAGATTGAATTAAAAAAATGTTTTATAGAAAATGAACTTGATACAAATCAGATTTAAAGAAAATTGAGTAGTCTTGAGTATAACTTTTCTTCAAAATTTATGACTAATAACAATTTTCGTTCCTAGATTAAAAAAAAATTAAAACGAGTGTCGTTTGTTCGATTTGCGCTCTATCGTTGCGTCCGTGTTTGGGATACTTTGTTACATGCCTGAATTTTGATTTTTTTTAATATGTTGTTTAATGTTAACCCTTAGTATAGAAATTAAAGACTGGCTGTGAATTCGAAGAAAATGCTCCAAGGGGTTTTTGAAGAATATTTCGAAAGATTTCTGATAAGACTAGAGTTAAAAGAAAATTTGAGAACATTTTCAAAGGAATTGAATTCTCAGAATAAGTAGAAGGGGTTTCAAGGAAATTTCAAAGAGAATGCAACCCAAATGATGGTTGCTTTTTTAATCCAGCATTGGGGCTACATTGCAGCCTGTTGATGTTGACAAACAAAAATATAAATAAATCAAGTAGATCACCCATCTTGCCCGTGACTCATTTTACCGCACCTTACCATACACAGTTCAAGTGAATTGATACAATTCATGTACAATCTAGTGGTCAGCGGTCAGGTGAATGCGAATTGTAAATGCACATCGATGAATTTTCTAATCGATCTGTTCCCAATTTAAGTAAATTGAACGGCCGGGCAGAGATTAATGATGCACCGAATATTCGGCCATACTATTCCACCGAATATTGCTTGACTAAATTTAACTTCAAAGTTTTCGGGTTCTTCCTTGCTGACAAACGGCTGAATACTATATAAAATTGGCTTATAAATATAAAATATCTGGCCGAATCAATATCAATCGAGAGAAATATCGTTGCCATCAAAATTAGTGCAGTGAAACTCAAAATAAAAAATATAGGTTGAAAATATATTATATTATATATATATTATATATATTTTTTGTTATGTGCATAAAAATCGGAGCATATTAAAAAAGGAACTAAGCAAAGGTAAAGTAAGTTTTAATGAAAAAGTACCATTGAATCTAAACCAAAAAGCAGCATTTAAAACTTTTATGTTTGTCATAGATACGTACCTGTCTTACAAGACTTCGTTTTGTGTAATACTGATTCAATGGTATACTGATTTGTAATGTAGTCTATAGGTGCAGAATATATATCCGAGTCAAGAGGAACGTTGTAAAAATCTAATATTTTGTTGTCATCCAAAGCATCATGCGACATAGCTTGAGTAATGAATATTGAATCGTCAACTTTTTTCGTTGTCGAATCACTTAATGAATTATGAGAGCTGGATAGTCGCTTGTGCAATGTGCTGGAATTCCGCTGCATCGTAGATACATTACTTTTGCTGGAAAGACTCCATAACAACTGTTGAGATCCCTTGCCTAAGCTCCATGTATTAGTTTTTATTGAGCATTCTTTTTCGTGGGAAAATGCATAATCACTTTTATTGGCTGACTGCCTTCCGCAGCAGCTAGAATCGCTTCCAGTTGTATGGCTATTCATCTTATTATTCTTAAGCCCGGAGGAACGAATTCAAACTAAAAGACTAATAGTACTTCCGTCATAAGTTCCTTGGTAATATGAGCCCAATCAACATTGTGCACTGCAAGAGAAGAAAATATGTATTACTGCATTACCAATACTCGTATGTGGATTGTTTTCTTCAAGAAACACTATATTGGATATATCACTTTCTTTTGTTAATTAATTATAGCTTAATTACTGCTTTGTTAGAAGAAATTGGATATATTCCAACTAAAAGCAATTTACTGTTAAAATATGGTGCTAAAAAGTTATCGAATTCGATTGATAAATAAATAAATTCGATTAATAAATAATAACCAAAAAATCAGAAGAGAAGTACCTACCATGATTTTCATTGTTATGAACGGTGAATTTCGTTATGATTTCATGGTAATCTACCAGAATGTCCAATGTTTTGAATGGTTACAAAGACAATGAAAATCATTGTATTTTTATTGTTTTTTTTTACCGGGACTATACAATCTCGAAAAAATTTTAATGAGATTTTTAGCCGTGAGATCCCGAGATATTGAGCTTCATTTGATTTTTAGCTCCAAAGGAGATTGGGCAAAAATATATAGAGACTGGTCCAAGAATATACATCAATGACTGATATCTCATTCGCAAGGAATCATTGAGACAAGAAAAAGTTGGTATGGGGTCAAAAAGAAAAACAATACTCAAGGTGTAATGTTGGCAATTGGCCATTTTTGCACATTTTGCTATTTAATCATCTTTTCTTTTTTGCATTTGGTGTGTGTGTGTGTGTTTTTTTTTATAGTAAACAAGAAGCCTGGCCTGACACGGAATGAAGTTGACACGGTGTGGTATCCACTAGTTGCCTAGTGCAGCTCCACTAAAACCCATTCCTTACTCTCTTCTCTGCCTGGATCCCCCCGGGACCACTGTGAAGCGACTACTTCGGGGGGTGGCTGTGCTCTGGCGTTGCTGGATCGCTGCTCTTCTCCCATTTACGCTGCAGCTCCGACATGATCTGCGTGACTTCACTGCTGACGGCATTCCAACTTTTCAATGTCCAGGTGCCCTCCTCTTGACACATTTCAAAGACGGCATTCTCCACGTTAGGAACGGGCATCTCCCTTCACACTGCCTCGAACCTTGGACATTCCAAGACCACATGCTCCGGCGTTTCATCGACGTTGCCACACTCCGGACAGAGAGGTGACGCTGCGTGTCCGAACCGATGCAGGTATTTCCTGAAGCAGCCGTGGCCAGACAGGAACTGCGTTAGATGGAAGTTGACTTCTCCGTGTTTTCTGTTCACCCAGGTCGAAATAATCGGTATTAGTCTATGTGTCCATATACCGTTCTCCGTCGTGTTCCACTCCTGTTGCCACTTAGCCAATGACTCCACTCTCACAACTTTCCCTACTCTTCCGGCTTCTCTCCGCCTAAAGCACTCGCTGTCCTCCACCAGGGTGATGCCAATAGGGATCATACGTGCGATAACGCAGACTGCTTCCGACGAGATGGTTCTGTATGACGCTCGCATGACCATGAGCCGGAACGTACTGCTCAGTTCTATTTGGTTGTGTGTGTGTCTGTGTGCGTGTGCGCGTGTGTGTGTGTGTGTGTGTGTGTGTGTGTATGTGTATGTGTATATGTGTGTGTGTGTGTGTGTGTGTGTGTGTGTGTGTGTGTGTGTGTGTGTGTGTGTGTGTGTGTGTGTGTGTGTGTGTGTGTGTGTGTGTGTGTGTGTGTGTGTGTGTGTGTGTGTGTGTGTGTGTGTGTGTGTGTGTGTGTGTGTGTGTGAGTGCGTGTGAGTGCGTGTTTGTCACCTGTAGCCTTTAACATCACGGCACTCCCTTACAGCGGTGGTTTTCAAATGCTCCGTGGCTCCGAGTTACAAGCTCGCTGATCTCACATACGCTTGTAGGTAAACCACTAATCTCTTTAGTTGGGTCTCTCGGGGTACTCAATAAAGAAAGCGGGCTTAGCGCCTACTAAGTAACATTAACGCTACGTATCAACGGAATGTTACAAGTACACAAGTTTGAGTGCCAAATAATGAATATTGAATAAAAGTATCGGAATTGATGATTATTAGAGAATTCTATAAACAATTTAATTTAAAATTCATAATAGTAATGCCAACTATCTTTGAAATATTTATTTGTTCTGTAGATACTTCGTTGAGCATTCACTTAGAATAAATTCAATTGATTTCCCGTGCAACACAGAAATCATGTTTTGCCTACTTTGTAACTTTTTGGTACTGTTCGGAGATGGAGTTGCACCTAATGAGTTAGTACATCCGTTTATATTTTTGAGATGACTGCCTCAATCAGCATAAGATTTTTTAGAGTTGTATGGATTAAGTGTTAGCTTAGCTTAGCTTAGACTGACTGCACATAACAATGGTTGCTACTCCGTGATTGATCACAATCAGTGCAATGGTACAATCACAGACAAACAGACGTAACTCTTCATCGTGTATCTTCGTTCATGCATTTAACGGTTGATTTGAATATTATCAGTTCCGCGAACTACTCGCCGCAGCGCTGGCATCAGATCACTTTGACGTTTCTATATATTCTATAGAACTTTTATGCAATATTGTTTACGAGTTAGCGAGCAAGCTTGTTTTCCGCGAGAAGCCAGATAGATGTCGTTACTGAAATTATATGTTTTGAGATACTATGTTTTCAAGAACAAGGTTTTCAAAGAGTTACGTCTGTTTGTCTGTGGTACAATGAATCAACTGAATGGGGCTGGGAGTGACCGTCCATTCTCATTGTGCAAGTTTCAGTGACTCCATATTTTGTAAATCAATAACGACGCCGCCCAAGCAACATTGCTAGTTCTATCGAGGTTTTAAAGCATTCTTCAAGCCTAAATCAAATGAAATAGCAAAACTCTGCAAAGGTAAAACAATTTAAAAACATATGATGATATTCAATTTATTCTCTGGGTAATCCAAATTCTGAAAACCATAGATCATATTATATTATAATAAAATAAAATGTAAATAACAATGATTTGCTATTTTATACACCTTCTGGTCCTTCAGGATCTGCAGGACAACTATTTTCTGTAAATGAAAATAATAGTTATAATGATATAATAAGATTTTAAATATGTGAAATAAAAATAATTTACTAGTCATGCATTATATAAAATATAATGAATGTTAAGCAAACAAGTATTACAAAATACAAATAAGCTCGATTTTAGTTAACCTCAGTACATTTAACTGATTTCAACTTTTGATATTTTAATGGAATTGAAACAAACACTTTATTATGCACCATGGAATGGTTTAACGCAATATGGAATGCTTTTAAAAATATTTGTAAACTTGAATAATTAATCAATAGTCAGAGAAATCGAGGTTATTTGGACATTTAACAGTTTTCATGCACTTTTTATCATGCATAACAATGTTTTTGTATTTTCCTGAACGAAGGTTGCAAAAAAGTGAACCATTATAATATTATTCTAAAAATGTTCCATCATCGAAGAGCTGAAAATAAAGTTAAAGATGTAAATCAGTAAATCCAGCCTAAACGGAGGACTCGCAAACATAATAAGGTCCCTCATCACTCATATTCCGAATCTGATTAAATAAGTATTTACAAGTATACAAATAAATATATCAACAAGTAATGTAATTTTCTCTCCGGGAAAGGAAAAATAAAATGGTTGATTGCTCTGTCATATAAACGTTAAACATACATTTGAGAAAATTAAACAATTTTACGTTGCTTTTTCCAGTTGTGTTTTGATCCTGTTTTAAATATTTATCATTGAATATATAATAATAATATAATAGGACCTGGAATTGATTCAAACTCAAACTGCACGGTGGTGTCCTTTACACAAGAATAAGCCTCTACTACCGATGATCTTTTAAACCTGGAGACAAAAAAGCTAAGAAAAAGCGCTTATGCCTTCATTAAGATTCCCTTGAATTGGTCGCGTCGCGTCCACTCCGACTGCGGCCTAAGACGGGAACAGAATCCATAAAACATACACATTTTTGAACTACCGTGCCCCTTACTTCACGCTTGACGCTTTACCAGCCAGCGTACAAATATTGCAAATCTTTTAAGCTATCTCGACCGAACTCTATTGCGTTTTAAAACGACTGTTTACTCCTTCATATTTCGTCGGCAAAACCACAAAACCCCATAATCAAACACAACCCGCCGTGACTACCGTCAGTCTTCAACCACGGCTCTCATGATCATGTTAAGGACACACCTAACAACACAACAAAAACTAATCCGTCAAGTGCCAAGCTTGCATGTTCGATCGCGACATTTATTTTCTAAACGAGTCATGCTTCAACATGAGAAAACAAAATCATAATGGATTATTCGTAGACACCTAACCGTAAAAATCCCGAGGAACATGCTTCATGCGATCGAGGTCATCCCTCTGACAAATGGGAACGATAAAAATAAATCTCGATTGCTCCCCCGAAGGGACGCATCCGCTCCCGCAAACAATGCATCCGATCCCCAATCCGACGCAATCGGCGACCAACGCGTCTGCCCGCAAAAGCAACAACGCCCAAATCTCAAAGCTCTCCGGACGTCCCCTCGAAAATGCAATCGAGAAATGTATAAGAACAATCTTCAACTGGAACGTACTCACCAAATCAATATATCCGGGAGCACATTCCCAATGCTTATTTTTCTCTCGCAAACCCGTCATGGTCAAACGGCAAAAAAAGGGAACTCAGTGAACACTTTTGTGATACGGAATTTTCACAGAAAACATAATGAATCACGTTTTCTTTCTCGATTCTAAAATTTCCCGGAAAGCGAGAAAACCACCAGTCACACACGTATAACCGTCCGGGAGGACTCTGCCACTCTGGCCAGCGCTAATCCAGCAAATGCAGCCGAAAACTATGAAAGCGAACGCACGCACAAAACAGAGAACAAACTTAAAACACAACCGTATCCAAAGGGGTAAGAAACTGCACTCTAGAGTTGTATCAACCGGTGAAAACTGACGATTTTAAATTGGCTCACTACATACTTGACTAGCCTATTGGTCCCAAGCAAATAGATTAACATACCTTATTGTAGACGAAATTCTAGTACTACA